AGGCGCCCCATGAGTGGCATGACACACTGAGGACTACACTTGCGGCTCTTGGGTTTGCTCCTTCTACAGCCGACCCGTCGCTGTTTCTGCGCACCGACACCTCTTTGCCGCCGTTCTACATCCTCGTGTACGTCGTCGACCTGGTCTTTGCCACTGCCGACACTGCTGGACTCGCCCACCTGAATTCCGAGCTGCTGAAGAGACACATGTGCACAGACCTGGGTGAACTGCGCAGCTACCTTGGCTTGCAGATCACCTGGGACAGAGCACCGTGCACCATTACCCTGACTCAGTCACACTTGGTGCGGCAGGTCCTTCAGCGCTTCGACTTCACGTACTCCTCGCCTCAGGCCACTCCTCTGTCTACTCGCCACTCGCTCTCAGCTCTGCCTTCGGATGAGTCCGTAGAGCCGAGTGGCCCGCACCCAGAGCTGAAGGGGAGGGGGGAGGCTGCACCGGGGGAGCAGAAGGGGGAGCGGAAGTCAGGAAGAGAGGGGGAGGAGGAACCGGGAGACCTTGGCAGGGGTACCTGACGTAGTAGGGGACGGACTCGTCGAAACTGATGTCACGGGAGTCAAAGAACCGGTGAAGGGGAGGGTGGTAGAAGTTGAAGCCAGAGGAGTCCTCCAGGAAATCAAGGAAGACACAGGGACCGCGAGGCGAGATCTTGTCCGCGGAGGTGTCGCGAACAAGAGCCAAGCAACCCCAGACACAAAACCTCGACGCAACACCAAGGGACCCGGTCCAAAGACTAGTCGGTGAAACCTCTGACCGAGAGACACGTGGCCAGAGGTTCAGCTGGTGAGCGGCGTACCTAACCGCGTAGGGCCACAGAAAATGGGGAGCACGAGCATGAGTCAAGGAGGTGCGGGCGATCTCCATGACCAAGCCTATGCGACGCTCAGCAACCCCATTCTGCTGTGGGGACTCTAGAAGCGTCCAGGACTGACGAATGCCCTGCTCGCGACAGAGTGCAGCGAGAATGCCGGGGCGAAACTCACCCCCACGGTCGGAGTGAAGACAGCTAACTCGACGACCACGAGTGCCCTCAGTGGTAAGCAACCACCTGATCAGTGTAGAAGCCACCTCAGACTTCTTCGCAAGGGGGAACACTGTGGTGTAGCGGGAGTAGTCGTCAACGACCACCAGAAAGAAACGCTCACGCTCAGGGCCAAGGCGAGGGGCGGGGCCCCAGACGTCCAAGTGGAGCGTCTCAAAAGGCTCGGTGGCCGAACGAAGGGAGGAGAAGTGAGGGGTGGCGCGCAGCCTACCCTCGACACAGGGACCGCACGGTGGTGCAAGCGAAGGTGGCAGCGACGGCAAGACACGTGGGAGGCCTAAGACAAGACGCTGACGAGACATAGCGTGCGGACGAGAGAGAGCGGGTGCCCCATCTGGTGGTGCCACAGAACGGTGGGGTGGGCAAGTGACCGGTAGGAGCACAACGCAGCAACTGGACTAGAGACGGGAACCTGACCAGACACAGCTACCTGGGGGGACGCGGCAACCTGGTGAGACGCAGAGACTAGACTGGGGGAAGGAACAGGGGCCAGGGGCAGTAGTCGTTGCTGCTGCTGCTGCTGCCGCCGCTGCTGCTGCTGCTGCTGCTGCTACTGCTGCCCACCAGAGCCAGTGTGAAGTGTGTAGAGACCAGAGCCCGGCTCAGCTGTATAAGGTGGCAAGAGGCGTGTAAGTGTCTCCGTCAACACAAACCGCCGTCTCACCAGAGGGCTCAATCCACACACCCACGTGCTGACTCACAAGAGGCCTCACACCCACCAAGTTCCGCGAGAACGAGGCGACGTGGAAGCCGGTCAGAGACCCAGAGGGAACAGCAGGGCACGGAAGAGTAGTAGTGTAGCGAGCCGTGACTGGTCCCGAGGTGGGATCAGCCAGAGCCACAGAGACCGGTGCCGGAAGCGGACTAAGTGTCGTGTGGTACCGGAAGAAGCAGTGCGAAGCCCCAGAGTCCAAAGTGAAAGACAGCGAAGTGTCCTCCGAAGTTGCTCCTGTACTAGTGTCTACACTAGCAACAGGCAACTCAGGAAGAATAGCACCTAAGCTAACAAGACTCGAGTAAACAGAGTCAGAAGCACTAGAATCAACAACAGCATACATAGCATGAGGAGTTCCTAAGAGATCAACCAACTAAGAAGCTGACATGCCCCAAAGAGCGGAGCCGTACGTCTGAACAAGAGGAAACCAGTCAGGGGCAGGGCCGCCAACGCCGAAGGCCAAGCGAAATGTGTCAGTGAGCTGAGCAAAACACTAACCAGGAGGGTGGGTGCGGCCACAAGGCTGACCTCGGCGAGCACCTGTCAAAAGCTAATAGGTGCACGAAGGGTGAACAACACCTCGCTAGGGCTGGCGCTGTCCTAGCCCCGAAACCTTCTGTTGCAGCTGCTGCTGCCGCTGGGCTAGGTACCACGCCGCTGCTCCACCCAGTGCGGCTGGCAGACCAGGGTTTAGGGTTTAGGGTGCTGCGGCTGGCAGAAGGTGGCTGACGAGCCCGGGTGTCACCTCCACCAGCTGTAATAGGGGAGTCACTGGCCGCTGCACGAGACGCCTCTCCAGACCCTGCGCTTCCTCCGCCACCAGTCTGCACGCCACCCCCGCCACCTCCGCCGCCAACACCTCCACCGCCGCCGCCACCTGTACCCTGACCGCCCCGCTTACCACCTCTACCTCGAGACCGCGAAGAAGTCGTAACAGCAGCTGCAGTCACGTCAGTAGCAGTAGTGGCTAAAGAGGCTGTAAAGGTGGGCAGCTGAGGGACAGTGCACCCGTGGAACAGTGGAGGGGGCACAACACCAGAGGCGAAGGCTACGGAGCGGAGGTTGCTCTCGACGTCCTTGCGCGCAGACTCAAGGACCTCGATAGTGAGCTCACTAGGGTGCTTCAGAAGAAGCGTGTCTCAGACTGAGGCAAGGCGGTCAGGGAGGCTAGTGGCGATGAAATAGATAGTAATCGCCATGGGGGGAGGGAGCAGTGCAAGCTGTGCCTCACTGCAAGCAGCGCAGTAGCTAGAATCAAGCGATCGGAGGTGAGCAATCAAGTCAGCAGAGCGCTCAAAAGAGGCGAGGTCAGGGAACAGGAACGGTAGGAAGAGTCGGCCAAGAGAGACAGTGGTAGGAGTAGTGTAGCGGGCCTTAATCGCACACAGGAACTCACTAGCAGTGCGAACCTAAGTGAAGTGGGCCTCCTCAGACTCAAGGAGGAGGCTGCTAAGAGCGATGCAGGCCGCAGCGTCACGCGACTTCCACGCCGTCAGGTCAGCAAGCTGGCAGGTGAAGCGGTCCCTGGCTGCGTCGTCAGGGGCGGGGCCTAAAGGCGTAGGGTCGTCGGGCGCTGGAAGGTCACCAGTAGCGTGCGCCCAAAGGGACTTGCCCGCCTGAACCTGACTCTCTAAAAGACGACGCGCGCGTAGGAGCCAAACCGGAAACTCCAGCGATCTACCGTCAGCGTCAAATCGAAGAACCCTAGGGGTTGCCATATTGTAAGTAGAAGCGACAAGTCCGGCGGTGGGTGGCACTGCTAGGGACGGTGGGCGGCTAGGGCAAGTCCGTGACGGGCGCAAAACGCGGGCGCAACGGGGCTAGGGGCGGTCCCGCGGCGGGCTGAACGAGTAGGCGCAGCGATGCGAAGGAAGGGCCTAACGAGCGGGCCTGTAGCGGACCTAACGAGGAGGCGCGGCGGCTGGCGGAACTGGCAGGTGCGGCGGCTGTAAGGGAGGGCCCACGGCGCCTATAAGGGAGGGCCCGCGGCGAGCCTAACGAGCAGGCGCGGTGGCGCGCGGTACAGGCAGGCGCGGCGGCTGTAAGGGAGGGCCCGCGGCGGCTGTAAGGGAGGGCCCGCGGCGGGCCTAACTAGCAGGCACGGCGGCGGGCAGTACGGGCAGGTGCGGCGGCTTTAAGTGAGGGCCCGCGGCGACGAAATGCGGGCCCGCGGCGGGCCTAACGAGCAGGCGCGGCGACGGGACGAGCGGGGCGCCGCGGCGACGAAATGCGGGGCGCCGCGGCGACGAAATGCGGGGCGCCGCGTTGACGAAATACGGGGCGCCGCGGCGACGAAACGCGGGGCGCCGCGGTGACAGGCGCGGCGCGCGAGCGGGCGTTTAGGGCAGCGGGGGGAGGACACGACGCGACGGGCAGGGTGGGAGGGCACGTCGCGACGAGCAGCGGGGGAGGTCGTGACGGGACGGGAAGCCGGGGAGAGCGCTACGCTACGCGGAAAGCAGGTCAGCGGAGCGGGCGCTACGCTATGCTACGCGGAAAGCAGGTCGGCGTAGCGGGCGCTAACGAACGAGCAAGACTGGATCGGGCCGGCGCTAGGCTCGGGCAAGACGGGTACGACTAGTACGAAGGAGCGAGACAGGCTCGGGCGGAACGAATGAGGACGGGAGGAGCGGGATCCCACAGGATCCTAACCTAGGTGATACGATGTTATGAATGAAAGTGTTGTGTTGTTGATGAGGGTTGGGGTACATATAGCAAACCCTAACATATGTACCCCCTAAGACAAACCTCACTACAGGCTACAACATTCGACAATAACCACATGAAGTCTATGCATTACGAAGCGAAGGTCACTGTAACGCAGTTTTAAAAACCACCCTAAACCTTCAACCTGAGCGCCATTTGACAAGGATAGTAAATAAATATTAGAGATTCAGTCTATAAAAAGATTCTAGCATTTTCTCAGCTCATCAGGTCTCTAGGCCATAGCACAGTGAACACTTTCGAACAGAGACTATTTTTGAACTCAGATGCCAACGTGTGCCTTAGCATCGTACCGTAGTGAGTTTCCATACTCGCAGCCATAAGCACAGCTATAGCATGTAGGCAAAACGAAACACTAATTATTCCTAGAAGTTGGATGAGCAGCTTTGAGTCTGCGTGCTAGCTGAAGCTTGTCTCGTGTGAATGAAGCTAATCATAATGACAAGCAAAAGTGCTCAGAAAGCCAGGGGATGATGGGCGAAGCAGGCAAAAGTGTAGCGACTAAGAGGCACTGATGGCTCTGTCAAAGGGCAACAGAGAGAAAGGTCAGCACAGAGGATTAACACGCATGGTGGAACAAGCAGGCTGGAAGGACACAACACCTACCCGGTGAGCAGGCTATGACATTCCATTGAACATGGTGCGGTTCAAAAACAGCTGTGGAGGTTGCTGCTGCTGTTGTTGCTGCTGCTGCCCTCCTTGCCCAATGAAAGATAGTGATTGTCCTTGTTGCTGCTGCTGTAAAAGTGCCAAAAGCTGTTGTTGCTGTTGCTGCTGCTGCTGCTGCTGCTGCTGTTGCTGCTGCTGTTGCTGATGATGATGATGATGATGCTGTTGCTGCTGCTGCTGAGTTTGTTGTTGCTGCTGCTGCTGCTGCTGTTGGGCGGCGAGCAGGGCCTGCACGGCCTGGGGCTGGCTCTGCAGCAGTTTGAGCAACTGGCCGATTTGCCCGTCCACAGACAAGGAGCCCTGCGGCGATGGCGGGGCGCCGCCAGTTGGGCTCAGGGGCGGGTGCGACGCGGCAGCAGTGAGCGCGTTGGGAGTGGTGGGCGCATTGCCCATGGGCGAGAGCGGTGGCAGGCCCGCTGCCTTGCGCAGCACCTCCACCTGGTCGTGCAGGTGCTTGTTCTCCACTGCACACCACACATGCCAACCACCGTTGCACCCCCACACCACACGCAAAGGCGAGTCGGGGAAGAGGCCAGGGGTACAAGGGTGCAGATAAGGGAGAAAGGAAGGGAGCGAGGGAGTTGAAGGGACAAGGGGCGACGAATAGGAAAATACTGAAGGACAAGGTGTACGGAGGGAGGGACGGGCGCAGTGTGGTGATAGGAGCAGAGCGGCTAGGCTAACAGCACACACAGCCCTATAGTCAAGCAGCGAGAACAGGCATACGCGAATGATGGCATTGGCACAGCGCGAGGCACGAATCTATCAATTAAGAGCTCCGACGACAAGAAGAAGGGGTGAGTGGAGCAGGGGGCGCGCGTACCTTCGCTCTGCTGGTAGAGCTGCTCCAGCAGCTGCAACTTCTTCGCCATGCCGTCGTTCGCCTCCGCCAGCGACGTCGTCTCCCTCTGCCAACGCGCGACGCACGGCGGACACAAGCAACGCAGGGCCGCGGGCGGGCACGCGTCAGAGCGGATCGCAAGGGGGACCGCGACACAAGCGGCGGAACAAGGAGGGGAATGAAGGAACGGAGGTCGTGAGGAGGGGAGGATGCACGGCGAGGGATAAGGGAGAGAGCAGAGGAGAGACATGCACTAACGAGAGAACGAGCGTGGATTGGGAAAAGAAATGGCAGGAAGGCGCTGTAACTGGAGGCGAGGCAGTGGCTTTGCCTGTGGCGTGCATGGTTTCCGTTCCGTCCAGCCCGTTACCCCATGCCTTCCAGCCCCATTCCCTCTCTTCCAACCAACAACCCCCTTCCCCCCCCTTCCCTAAAGCCCGCATTCCCCGGCCCCCCTTGGGTGGCGCGTACCTGCAGGATGGAGAGCGTGGCCTTGAGCGCGTGCGCCTGCTTCTCGTACGCCGCCACCTTCTCCTCCAGCTCCATGATGTACCGCGTCTTGCGCTCCTTCGACCGCGCCGCTGACAGCCGGTTCGCCAAGATGCTGCCGCCACCGCAGGTCGACAGCGAGCGCACGTGCGCGTGCGGGAAACACCGTTACAACGAGCCGACAACGGCGGGGTACGGCGAGAGGGAGGAAGGGAGGGAGGGAGGGAGGGAGGGAGGGAGGGAGGGAGGGAGGGAGGGAGGGAGGGAGGAAGGAAGGGAGGGAGGGAGGGAGGGAGGGAGGAGGGAGGGGTGGGAAGGCGGAGAGAAAGAGAGATGGCGGTTGAGGAATGGAGCACGCCCCAGTGGAGCATGTGTTTCTCCCCTGCTCGCGCCCACGTCGGTGCGAGGTGCGTCAGGCCAGGCGGTTCCCTGGCGCAGCGCGAGGTGCTAATGCAGTAGAACAAGTTCAAAACATCGAGCAACGACGACGCAAACGCCGAGCCGCAGCGGCCGCGTATCGCGTCACCCCCCACAACTTGCGAACGCCAATCAGAACCAGAAGCGCTAGACAGCAACGGGCAACGAGCACATACGCGAGCGTGACCTGCGCCCGGCGGCTGTGCCTACCGCTTAGCCTTCTTGGCGTCGATGACGTCGCCGTCGCCCGCCGCCTTCTTGGACGCCAGCACGCGGCGCACGGCGTCGTCGTCGTCCAGCTCGTCCACCTCGTCCTTTATCGACATCACGCCGTCGGGCCGCCGCGATCGGCGGGACAGCAGCGGGCTGGCGTTGAGCGGCGAGTGGACGGGGTCCAACGACTCCCTGAACGGCCCCACCTTGAACAGAAACGCGTCGTCCACCGAAAAGCTCCGCGAATGCCCGCCGCCACCGCCGCTGCTGCCACCGCCGACCCCCGCCCCTCCCCCTGTCGCCGCTCCGCTGCCGCCGTAACCCATGCGCCCTCCAAGAACCCCGCCGTTCCCCCCGCTGCTGCTCGGCGCACCTCCCCCGCCCATGATGCCTCCGCCAATTCCCCCACCCGCCCCCACGGCGCCTGCGCCTCCGCTGCTACTGGCGGCCCCTGCGCTGGTACCGCTGTCGGCCTGTATGCTACCGCCCTGGTACATGAACCCGCTCGGCGCTCCCCCCCCTCCGGAAGCGTTAGGCCCCGCTGAGAGCGGATGCGCGGCAGCGTCGACCATCTCGGAAAGCATGGCGTCGTCCATCGCGCCGCCCAGCGTCGCAGCCACCGCCGCCGCCGCCGAGGCCACGTCCATGTCGTCCAGCATTATGCCGTCACTGCTGCTCGGCGCGTTCCCGCCGCCCCCGCCGCCGAAACAGAAGCCGTGGAGGCTGTCGCTGGCGACGCGGCGATGGCCCATCTTGCGCGACGGGAACTCGGACATCTGGCTCATGAGGTCGCCGATGCCCGCGCCTCCCGACAAGTGACCACCCATGTCCACGCCCGACGAGCCCGCGCCCGTGTCCATGGCCGCATCGCGCTGGACTAGCCCCCCCATCGCCTGCTCTTCGCGGAAAATCGATGAGGATGGGTGATGGCTTGGGGGTGGTCTGGAGAGGAGCGACGACGGGACATGATGGTGATGATTCGCTCCCAGGGGAGGAAGCACATGCCGGGGACTCCCCGAATTTTCGGACGAATACATTTTTGTAACTTAGGGACGGTGGAAATTGGTCGTAAAGATATCCTAAACTCCCTCTGGCTAAGGAAGAACTTGCAGCGTTCCAATAGTGTATGGACGTAAACGTGAAGGAGCTACAACATGACTCTTGGGAGTACTGCAAGATGTCCTTCACCAACCACCGAGATGAGTCAGAAGCAGTGGTGGTGGTGAATCGTAAATCGTGATGGAAGGGTGAAGCAGGAAGGGGTTTGGTTGGTGCTGCGCGGGAGGGGAAGCGTGCGAGCAAGAAATGGCTTTGGTGGGTGCGCGCAAACCCAAACCCGAGGTTGCTGCCATGGGTGGCTGCAGAGATCGCCTCGCCAACGACTGCTCCGCGCCTTTCTGCTGTCCACCGCAAGGGACAGGTGACGGGAATGAAGCTCTCCCGGTCCCCGCGTAGTCTTAACTTCCCCTCCCCGCCCTCCGCCCGCTGGGCTCTCGCCTTACAGCTCCCGCCGCACATATGAGCGAGCGGGAGCGGCGGAAGAGAAGTCCTCCACAAGCTTGAATTGTCTTCTCCTGCAGCGGTGAGTGCCACCCAATCTAGCCTCCACCAAACCACAGGACAAGGCAAACCTCGGTTGCGTCGTGGCTGTTGGTGGCATCCAGATGCTGTCAAAAGCGGCAAGTGGGACAGTGGTGTAATTTCTACAGTGAATCTATGGTGGTCGTGTAAACAACCACCTGATATTGATAGATAAACTGGAAAATGAAAGTGTAATTAGCTCAGCAGCATGTAAGCCATGCCAAATTACTAGAACTTCTTAATGAAGTAAACAAGAGGCTCGAACATACACATTGCGCTCGTCTGCGTTGTTCACTGAGGACATTCTGTTACGGTCAGTGTCAGAATGCTATGATTATCTAGCCTGCAGTGGGATACTCTATAGTGAGTACGGCGCAAATTAGGGTTTGCTATATGTATCCTATCTGCTGCTAGTGCAACCCCTCTTTTGCTGTTCTCTGTTGGGAACAAACAATCTTAAGCGCCTCTGTCGTGTCGAAACACCAAGGCACAAGCGAAGCAGAGCATATCGAGGCACCAGCGAGTCAACCCTCGGAGGTTGAAGTAACCGCTGGAGGTTACGCGAAAGTCAAAGGTCAGCGACCTTTGACTTGACAAATGCAGCGCGACAGCAAGGACACACAACTGACTCGACATTGAGCAGTTGCCCGAGTCGCACTGTATCGAACCGCAACAGTAAAACAGTTTAATTATATCTCTTCGTATTCTTTGTACTCTTATATAAACCTTTGTACTTGCTTGTTTTAGACAACTTACCGGTAATTTGCCCTCACATACCGTCTCCCCCCGGATATAAGCGCCACCCTAGGATAAGCGCCTGGCGCTTCTAATTGGCATATGGCGCTTATATCCCCTCCTCGATTATAAGCGCACCCCTTGAAAAAACTTGTTTTATTATAAGCGCACGTAAACTTTAAAATTTGAAATGTGTTCAAAAAGCTGTAACGATTTTTACTTTAGCAGGCGGATATGTTGCAGATTCGGTTCCCTTCACATTCGGACCCTGCACTGGATGCGGGTCCAGTCAGCAGGACCTATCAGGAGCTGGATGTGAGTCAGATTGGGTGTATCTCCCAGCGCGCGCGAGAATTTCACAGACGATCCCATGTAACTTCGACTCGATTGAAAAGGCAAGCACGAGACCTACAGTTTGGTGTTAAAAGATATAAAAAATATGTATGTCATTTTATAAACGCCGGCGCTTATAAATTTACTCGATTATAAGCCCACCCCCATGAAAAAACCTGTTTTATTATTGCCCCCCATGGGGGTATATCCGGGGGGATACGGTACCAGCGCAAGGTGGTTCAAGGACTTCATTTAAACGCTTCCGCTACTACATCTCTACTCAGAGTTTAACCCTACCAAAGATCCTAAGGGGCACTCAGCCCAACATGGTATGAGAGCTGGTTAGGGTTAAAATTATTTCTCCTTAACACCTAATACACCAAGAGACATGTCTACCAGAAAGAAGAGGAGCTCCTCCAACGGCTCTCCTGGTACTACTCCTACTCCACCTCCTGCCTCTGGCCTACAGACAGAGGAAGGCACAACAACGACACCGGCAGCTGGGTCTACTGAAACACCTGCAAACCAAGGCGCGGGCTTCGATCCAAGCATGATGGAGAAGTTCTTCTCCTTCATGTCCTTCTACGAGCAGCATCAGCAAGGAGCACCTGCGCAATCAAACAACAGCAGCAACAACAACAACGTGACGCCCATGAGTCTCGATGGCTCATCCTACGCACGCGGAAATCAACAACTGCAACCTACCTTCGCTCCGTACGAGCCCCAGCGCGGCTCCGTCAGCTTCATGCCACAACCACAACCTGCACCGGGACAAGAGAGAACGCTGGACGCACTACAAGTTCAGTCGCAGTTCGCGCACGTTCTAAAACTACCAACGACAAAACCCTTCGACGGGAAGGATTTCTTTACCTGGTCGTTCGAATTCGAGCTGATGATGGAAGGAGCGCAAATCCTTGGCTTCTTCGACGGGTCCCTGCCATACCCAACAAACGGCACACAGTAGGAGAAGTGTCAAACATTATATATGTTGTGTTAGTTTAGGCTACAGTGGGTTAGCCTATAGGGGGTACACAATTCTAGGGTTAGGTACTTGTACTCATTTCACTGCTAGTTCATTCATTCCAATTCAGTGATTCCAACATGGTATAGAGCAGGTCCTTCCTAGGACCGAAATTTTCTAAGGGCCCACCACTACGTAACTACCTACCTACCTACCTACCTGTGCCCTAGGGCGCCTCGGCGTGTCACGCCCCTAGAGGCCCCTCTTGACGGCCCCGCGCTAGCCCCGTTCAGGCCCCGTCGGCCCCACGCCCGCTCTCCCTAGCGGCCCCGTTCAGGCCCCGTCGGCCCCTTTAAGGCCCCGTTCAGGCCCCGCGCTAGCCCCGTTCAGGCCCCGTCGGCCCCGTTTCAGGCCCCGCCGGCCCCGCGCTAGCCCCTCTCAGGCCCCGTCGGCCCGCGCTAGCCCCGTTTCAGGCCCCGTCGGCCCCGCGCTAGCCCCTCTCAGGCCCCGTCGGCCCGCGCTAGCCCCGTTTCAGGCCCCGTTGGCCCCGTTTCAGGCCCCGTCGGCCCCGCGCTAGCCCCTCTCAGGCCCCGTCGGCCCGCGCTAGCCCCGTTTCAGGCCCCGTCGGCCCCGCGCTAGCCCCTCTCAGGCCCCGTCGGCCCCGCGCTAGCCCCATTCAGGCCCCGATCGGGCCCGCGCTAGCCCCGTTTCAGGCCCCGTCGGCCCCGCGCTAGCCCCGTTCAGGCCCCGTCGGCCCCTTGCTAGCCCCGTCAAGGCCCCGTTTGGCCCCGCGCTAGCCCCGCTCAGGCCCCGATCGGCCCCGCGCTCGCCCCTCTAGGGCCCCAACCGGGCCCGTGCCGACCTCGCCGACCCGTGCCCACCACCTAGAGGCACCCGGCGGCCCGTTCCCGCCGCAGCACACGAGGGAGAGCGGGCGGCCCGTCCCCGTCGTGACCCGAGCCACGCGACCCGAGCCGCGCGCCCCGAGCCGAGTCGCGCGCCCTGAACCGAGCCGCGCCACCCAGCCGAGCCGCGACCCGACCTGAACCGAGCCGCGCCGCCCTGCCCTACCTGGTTCGTCCTACCTGCTTCTCCTACTGCTACTGCTGCTATTTCTACTGTTCCTATGGCTAGCCCACAGGCTCTCGTGTTCGATGGTGAGGGCCGCCCTGTGAAGTTTGACACCTGGCTCGATGACCTGCACCTCTACCTACAGCTCACAGCCAAGGATGACATCTCACTGTACGATCACGCCCTAGGCCATGTCACTGCCCCTGCTGCTACTGCTGACATCACTGCTCGCTCACGGTGGCAGACTCGTGATGCCCACGCTCGCTTCGCCATTCGCAACTCCCTGCCGATAGACGAACGCGAGCACTTTGGTCAGCACAAGACTGCACAGGCACTGTACACAGTTGTAGTTGCTCGCTACTCCTCACCTGCCTCTGCCGCACTAGGCCGTCTCTCCCTCCCCTACCTGTTTCCCGACCTGGCCTCCTTTCACACAGTCGCTGACCTCATCACGCACCTCCGTACTAGTGAGGCCCGCTTCCGTGCCGCCATGCCTGCTGAGTTCCTTGCCACGCACCCCCCTCCACTCTGGCTCACTCTCTACCACCTAGTCACCCGCCTCCCTGACACACTGCGTGCTGTCAGGGACCACTTCCTAGCTCGTTGCCCCACTGAGCTCACCATTGCCCTCCTCGAGAAGGAGCTACTTGCAGCTGAGACTAGCATAGTCGCTGTAGGTGCCTCTCGTGGCGACCCCCGTACCCTGTTCTTTGAGGGGTGTTCTCCTTCCCCCCTTCTTCCCTCTGTCGCCTCTGCTGCTGCTATCGACCTTTTTTGTACTGAGAAGGTCGGCGCTGCGTCTGCCTCGAGCGGACGCCGCAGCGGCAAGGGCAAAGGGGGCAAAGGTGGTGGCGGTGACGGCGGGGGAGGCGGCGGTGGGGGCGGTGGAGGCAGTGGGGGTGGTGGCTCGGCTGGAGGGGCGAGTGGTAGCGGTGGGGGTGGTGGCGACAGCGGCGGGGGAGGTGGCAGGAGTGGAGGCGGCGGTTGGGGTGGCGGTGGACGAGGCGGCGACAGGGGTTGGGGTGGTCGAGGAGGTGGCAGCGGTGGTGGTGGCCGTGGAGGCACTGGCGGTGGCCAGGGCCAGCAGCACACTCCCTCGCCCCAGGAGGTCCGTGAGTGGTACTCTCAGCACGGGGGTGGGGGTGGTCTTAGCTGCACGTACGTCATTCGCACTGGTGA